TTTTTTTTTTTTATGAAGAAACATTTTTTTCCTTTGAGGAAATGATACAGTTTAGCCGCATATCTATAAATAATGTTTCAAGCGTAATACAAAACTTCATGAATGTCTATTACCAAAAATGTATCTAAAAATATTATTTTTAATAACTTATAATTCTTAAATGTTTTTATAAGGCGTCGCGCAACTAAAATTGAAGATCATAAACTTCATTCGGAAAAATTTGATTTCCGATACAATAATTATTTTCGATGCTACAAACATGATTCCATTTAAACCTTGCTTTTTCATTCGCAAGAAATTAGAATGTTGTTATATTTTATATTGCAGGTTTATATATATTAAAATTAATAATATATAATTTCGATCTATGAATTACCAAGTAGGCTGCAAAGAACACGTGAATATTTAAGCACTTAATTTAAATGTTTGTCAGACCTGAGAATCCATCCACGCTGTACTTTTTAGCAACATTTTTTTAAAGAAGACTTTGCTTCTCAGTTTGGAAACCAAAGGACTTCGCGAGGGTAATTCAGAGATCGAAATAGAAACAGAGGTATCTCTGGATACTGCCATATTTTTTGTTTTAACAAAAACTGATATAGATACTAATTAACAAACGAAGCAGATACATGGTGTGCCTCTGGTTACATTTACTTACTTTTTCACCTAGTTTGAACAATAACAATGTACTTTGTATCACAGTATTATATTAGTAGTGTATTTAGTATTTGTCGCATTTACTTTGGATATGGCAAATATGAAATATAACAGTAAAATTATACTAATGTAAATCTATATTCTTTGGGGCTAAATGCATATCACAGTGAGAAATTTTTCAACATTTCTATTTTTTTTTAAATTCTTATTGGAATTTCCAGAAGCACACCAGTCTTCGAAATGTATCATCTTAAAAATCGTGTATGTATCCATATATCCTATTAAAGATATTACAGAAAGCTTTACCGCCAACCAGTGGAAATAAGCAGGCAATATTAAAGTAAAAGTATTTTTTATCATTAGTTAAAAATGCACCTTAGATTATTTAAGATACTTATTTTGTATCTAATATACAGTCTTATCCTAATTTTTTAGCTGCACAACTAATTTTAACAAATGTAAAGCGGTAAATTAGTAAACATGTATTACCTGTTTTCTAAATGATACAAGGTGGTCCATGGCGTTTCAAACATTTTCGTTTATCTAATCAAGTGGTTGATCACAGATGTATCACATTCATTTACTTGTCAATTATTGATTCGTTTATCAATGTATCGTTCTTTTAAACAAATATTTACAAAATTTGTTGGACCACTTTCTAAAGACATAAGATTACTACCAATGATTATAGCTCACTCTAAACTCTAAAAACATGCAATATTTAGTAATGTTTATGCGTTAGTATTAATATGAGATAATTATAAGAGTAAGAGTTAGTAATGAATAATAATTAAGTGTCGAATTATTATTTCTCTTATCATATCAAATTTAAATAGACATAGAAGAAATATTCTTTATGAGTTTTGTACTAAAACAATTAATGTCAATATTAATATATCAGTATAGAAAGATCGTTTAGATTATTTAATTTTTTCGGCACTCTAAGATAAAATTTGTTTACATTCTATTTAAATATGTCTTTTTGAACAGTTAAACATTATCATTTAATAATCTCATTCGTTTTAATAACAAAACTTTGATAAACGAAAAAATTTAAGCCTCATTTACCAATTTTTGTATTACTTACAAGCAATTATACACGCAAATATTGTGATTCATAATAATTTCGATTTTAATTTTAATTATTTCAACTAGTGCATGCTCTGACTACTATATAAGTATCAGACTAACAACATTTACAGATTATTGGAAACTACTTTATGAGTCTGATTTGTAGTAATCTAAATATTTTGAAATATTTCTTAATTGACGATTCCATAAAAATTATTTTAAACTTATCTCTTTAAAAATCAAGTTGATGTCATTTTCAAAGTGTAATAACTGATTAAGTAGTACTGCTTGTCAAAGAGGAAATTGCTATGCATGCAGTTACTAAAACAGAGATTTCGCAAAAGCCTGTATAACTACAGGAATACTAGCATCAAAACCATTAATTGTTAAAATATTTTTATCACTCTTCTGCTTGCGATAAGTTGATGAAGAACATACAGCACAATTTATTAATCTGAAAAAAGTAATTAATTTACAATTTGTACATCTAATAATTTTTGCAAAAAAATAATTAAAAATAGCTTACTTTGTATCTTTAAGTTTGAGTTTTGTATTATATGCTTGAAGAGCCTCTTCTGATGTGTCAGATTTTTCAAATATTTGATCTACAACGTTAATAAATACATCGTATTTATGGTTTTGATAACCAGCCCATGACATTGGTTTTCCCAAATTTGCGTTTCCAATAGGCATCAATTGCAATTTTTTCATAAGTTGACTAAAAGTAGCATTTTTTTCAATAGTTACAACATGAATTCCAACGTTTTTAAACGTGGCAACGGTGACGTTCTTCTCACTCCGAAGAAGTGCAAGTGCAATCATGCACCCTGCTTCTGCACCATTTGTATTACCGTTACGCCAAGTATTTGTTTCCAACATTACTTTATTCATATTGATTGTTATCATATAACTTAAACCAGTTGGTTGAACATGCTAGATAAAAATCATTGGCATGATAATGAATACATATGTAAATGTTTTGCAAGCATATTTATACTTACAAAAAAAGAAATATTCAACATTTTGTAGAGAGCATCAATGATTTTAGAATTTGGTTTGGATGGAGCTGATTTATCGAACTGTTCTTTGATTTTTCTTTTTTCGTACGTTAATGATCTTTAAAAATTACATATTAGACAATATTAGTGAAATATAAAAAAAAGGACATGTATTAGAGAAAGGACATATTGTTTTAGTACTTACTTTCCAGAATTTTCATAATCTTTTATTGTAACAAATACTAAAACTGGATGAACTTCATCTCTGGCAATGTTTTCTTCATTAGTGATTTGATCTATTATTTTGGAAACTATTGGTGAGCCTGGTTTCAATAATTTAAGATTGTGTATTCTTTGCAAATTGGTTAAAAGCATGACTAAATTCATTGATGGTATTAATGCACTCCAAATCTATAAATTATTCAAAATTATAATCAACTGTTTTAAAGAATTTTAATTGTATTATTTTTAATACACATACACACTTGCACACGTGCACACACACACACCTCTTTAGATTTCAGTAAATGTCCAGGTACATGATCTAGTGTTAATTTGTACATCTCCAAAAGACCTGCTGCTCGAACTTCATCTGTACAATGTTTAAAATCTTCAACATGTTCAATATATTCTAGAATTTCCATAAGTGTAGGATCTTCAATAGAAGATTTTTTTGTTTCTTCTAAGCCACGTATTACATATTTAAGGACCATTTTTCTTCCTATTTAATAACATATTGTTTAATGAAGAATATGACTATTTGTATGATGATTAATACCAAATGAATAAATACCAGGATTATTGGTTACAGGATGAGATAATTTTATAATATCTTTATGCTTCCAACCATATCTGCTTTTGTACCTTGTAACACACTTTGCTAGTTCCATTGGAGATTTTGATAAATACCAATTATTTATTGCTTTTCTTAAACCATGACCCCAGCCATGTCCTGAATTTCCAGTTGCATCAATTTCTTTTTGCTTACTTATTTGAGAAGCAAATTTTATAAACAATATGAAATGCTGTGGGGATACACAAATTTTGTCTACGGCTAAATAAGCTGCTTGACGTAAACTTTCACTTTTCATTTGTCTACAGCAAACAGCAAGAGCAAACACCAATGTTTCTGGATTTGGAACAAAATTACTTTCAAATGCCTATAAAAAATAAAATAATTGTTTCAAATTGTCAATGAAAAATTATTTATTAAAAATATTACAAATAATTATGTGTAAATTATTTACATATAATAGATTTCAGTACTTGTTATCGAACTTTACCTTCTTAATAATCTGAACTGGTAATAATTGCTTCTCTGTGTTTTCAGCTAATTCTTCAATAGACGGAATATTTTTAGTCAAAAAATAGCTATGGACAAACCAGTTTCCAGGTTGATAATCAGGATATTCTTTACCAACATAAAGAAATTGTGATAATCGTACTTCAGGATCATTTAGATCCAAATCCACCGCCATTTCTCAGTACACAATACTGCAGAATAATTTATAAATTCAGATAAAATGCAATCTAAGTCTATGTTTAAACAAAAATTTCGTGTTTTATTATTAATTATTAGATCTAAATAATTTATTCCTACTACATATGTAGTTATTTAGTTATGTAATAATTATTTATTAACAAAATATTAGGAAATATATGTATACGTCAATAATTAGTATATTTAAAAAATCTACTCTCGACCAATTTTGAAATCATTCTTAAAATGTGTTTAAAGTGTAATTTAGAATGTTTTGTATTTGCAACTTTCTTTAATACGTATGTATAATGCAGGGACGAATCTTTTTCAATTTCGCGTTAAACGTTCACGATTGTTCACAAAATAATTTTGAAAAAAGTTAAGTTTTGCAGACAGTACGGTACATCATAGAACGTAGTAACAGGTATCACTGAATGACCTGATAAGGTAACTTGAAAATACGGGACATGCCATTGCAATAGTGTATACTTGATACGTACAATACTTATACTTTTGTGAAAAATTGTATGAGCTTTTAAACGTTATTATGTGCATTCAGTCTTCATTACCTTTTGTTGATCGAAAAAGTAACCCAAAACACAACCATACAGAACGACGTTTTGTGACGTACAAGAACGTACTGATTGCTGATGGAAGAAGTTAGACGGTTCGAGTAGATCTTGTATCAAGTATAAAATACGTACGAAAGCTCATTGATCCCTAAAAAACAGTAAATATTTCAATAAAATAAAATCTTTCATACAAGAAAAGTAAATTTGATATTTTCAATAGTTCTTTTGTCAATTATATTTGTTCCTTTTGCATAAAAATATCGACGGAGTCTCAAATACTTCTTAAATACTTTCTTACTGGGATCGGAATATTTACGAGAAACAATAGTGAATATTTAACTTTTGACTGTGAGTATTGAATTTTAACGAATTTAAAGATTGCAGATTTGAGATAGCCAGATTGAAAAATAATTAAAAATACTTTCTATCATACTTTTCATTTCATAAGCTTACTTTGATTTCTCTTTCAAAATTTGTTAAATTTAAACAATACTTTATTACAGCGCTACAATAATCTATGATCAAGATTCTGAAACATTAGATTGTTTTATTCTTTTTTTTTTCCCCAATAATACATAGCTTTTGTAATGTGTAATATATTATTGATTCGTTTGTTAATTATTCTCTAATTAAACACAATCATTTGAAACAAGATAATAGTTTTATCACGATATTATAAAATTCTAAAGAGCTGCGCACGTTAATGTTACTTATAATCAAGTCCGATGCTTTGCGAAGTTTATTCCTTTGTAAATAAAAATAAGATTTTTGTTTTAGGTTGGTAGTCGTTTGTTGGCATGTCAGAGGTCAAGCTAGTAACACTTTCAAAAAAGTAATGTCAGTACTGTCAGTGACACGCCGGCCATGGCAGATTGGTTACAATCGAAAATTGTTCGTCTCGGCGAACTGAGCAGCGTAGAAGAAAAGAAGGCTATTCTGTCTGACATCAAAATTAAATTGGGAAATTTAAATAACAGAGAAACTGAACAGATCTCTCGTAATGTGGATTTTAATCAGTTGTTTACTCAGTTAACCTCAAATGACAGGTACCATAATAGTACGGATTTTATTTAAAATTATCTTTAA